GTGAGTGAGTGAGTGAGTGAGTGAGTGAGTGAGTGAGTGTGTGAGTGTGAGTGTGAGTGTGAGTGTGAGTGAGAGTGTGAGTGTGAGTGAGAGTGAGAGTGAGAGTGAGAGTGAGAGAGTGAGAGTGAGAGTGAGAGTGAGAGTGAGAGTGAGAGAGTGAGAGTGAGAGTGAGAGTGAGAGTGGGAGTGAGAGTGAGAGTGAGAGTGAGAGTGAGAGTGAGAGAGTGAGAGTGAGAGTGAGAGAGTGAGAGTGAGAGTGAGAGTGAGAGTGGGAGTGAGAGTGAGAGTGAGAGTGAGTGTGAGTGAGTGTGAGCGAGTGTAAGTAAATGTGGGTGAGGGTGAGGGTGAGTGAGAGTGAGAGTGAGTGTGAGTGAGAATGAAGGTGGGTGTGAGTGAGTGTGGGTGAGAGTGAGAGTGAGTGTGCAAGACGGACACAATGACCAACAAGAAGGGAGACAAGGCGGACACAATGACCAACAAGAAGGGAGGCAAATGGAAACAGAAGGGAGACAAGGCAGACGAAGGGAGACAAGACCGGAGACAAAGGGAGACAGAAGGAAGACAAGGCGGACACAACGACCAACAAGAAGGGAGACAAAAGGAGACAAGAAGGAAGACAAGGCGGACACAATGACCAACAAGAAGGGAGACAAAGTTGACAGAAGGGAGACAAGCAAGACCGGAGACAGAAGGGAGACAAGAAGGGACCCTAAAGTGACCAACAAGAAGGGGACAAAAGGAAACAGAAGGGAGACAAGACGGACAAAATGACCAACAAGAAGGGAGACAAGAAGGGAGACACAAGGAAACAGAAGGGAGACAAGACCGGAGACAAGGCAGACAGAAGGGAGACAAGGCGGACACAATGACCAACAGAACGGAGACAAAAAGGCAAGGCAAGTGGAAACAGAAGGGAGACAAGGCGGACACAGTGCCCAACAACAACAAGAAGGGAGACAAGACCGGAGACAAAGACAAGGCGGACACAACGACCAACAAGAAGGGAGACCAACACGAAGGGAGACAAAGCGAGACGCTGGACGGAAGGCGGAGACAAAGGGAGACAAGGCGGACACAGTGACCAACAAGAAGGGAGACAAAAGCAGACAGAAGGGAGACAAGGCGCGGTAGAGCAGTTCCATCTCTTTGTGAAGGGTCACTTACCACATGCCCCGGGCACCCTGCAGAGCAGAAGGACCTGGGGTGCGCGTTCAGACAGTCGCAAGTATCATTCTCGATAATGGCAGCCATCTCATAGCCGAATGCAGGATCGTAGCCCTTCACTGCCTGGGAAGTGTTCCGTTTCTCACAGCAAGGCAAAGCGGCAACAAGAGATTTAAAAAAACGGAAGAAGGTAAGGGTTCCTTTTTTTTTCCTCAACGCTATGTGCTTTGTTGACAGCTGGGCACCTGTGACCAGTGGTCTGACATCGTCGGGTGCCCCAAAAGAAAAAGGCGCCATGGGCAGCCAGATCTGGTGCTGGACATGTTGCAATATGTGTACATTCTCACAAGGATGCTCGGCAACTCGACAACTTCAATGTGCCCTGGATCTTTTGTTTGCTGGTTCATCCGGATAGTGGGCATAGCCTCCTTTCTGATTCCAGCTGCGAGCAGCAAAGTGCCCCCGCCTCGCATTTCCTTTGAATTTGCCAAACCTTTATGGCCATCTCCAGATTTGCCTGGGCCCTTCTGCGGCTTCAGGCTCTCTTGGCCTTGTGCACGCCCACCTTGCCACGCAGTGTACTGCTCCAGAACCGTGTCGAGGAGATCGTTGGTGATACGTATGGCCTCTTCCAAACTCGCTGCATCTCCACTGCGCAAGAGAACATGCAGTTGTTCGTGTTCGGTGGCTCGATCACCGCTACCTTGTCCACCAAGGTGCACGGTGACTCCGGTGATGTCCTGGATGTGCTTCACATTCTGTCCATTTTCGCCAATTAAACGTCCATTGAGCCCGAAGGAAGGATCCGGATTATCGATGTCCAAAAAGAGTTTGTGAGGAAGCTGTGTCCAAAGGTTTGCCCTGGTTTTTGCCTTTTCCCCCTCTGTTCCTTTTTGATTTGCCCTTGGTCAGGCCTTGGCCTTTCTCCCAGTTCCACTCGTCTCTCCTGTCTTTCCAATCCTCTTTCCCGTCCTTGAGCTCGACGTTTCCGTGTTGGCCCTCCTTGCTAGGTCGCCTCCATCCCAAAAAAGAAGGAATCCATGGGTCCCTTGGGCTGTGGTACTGAAATACATTGAGTGCCGCGTACGTTTTGGACCCATCCACCACCCCTGGCCTGATCGATCAGATCAACCATGCTCGACCTGTCGAGTGGTGGGGCCGTGGGAGCCATGAGGAATGGTGACTGCGTTTGCAGGTCGACCTCCCATCAAGCTGCTTTTGCCCGGGGCCTTGACAGCCTGAGGGGGAGAGATGCAGCTGGCGGGTTTGCTGTTGGAGTTGGGGACTGGAGAAGAGTCTAGGACACCCTGGAGTACGCAGGCCGGAGGACACCCACACGATCCACGCCCCTGTAACAGCATGTAACAGCGGTTGGTAGCCGCCAGTGGCCCAGCCGTGGATGGCCAGTTGAGTCTCGAAGGGCATCGCATGGGTGGCGTGTTTGTCGAAGACATCAGCCACTGGTAGACCAAGTGTTTGGGAGTCATAGACCAAGCAACTTAGCTCCGATGATCGGGACTTGTGAGATTCTCGACTTAAAAAGTCCACTTTGACAGACTTTTGGAGACTTTGGGGTTCTGACAAGTCCTCTTTTGATTTCGCGCGTTTCAAGACTTCCGCACAAGTCTTCTGCTACATGTCTTCTCTTACCGCAGACCAGGAATCGGCATCGGGATCGATTTGGCCGAACAAATCCGTGGTTCATGCCGGCGCTGGCATGTACAACTCATGCCTCCTGTGGTGGTTTTGTTTGCTCTTTTGGGAAGAAAGGCATTCCCAAGACTGTGACTACGATGTTTTTTTCAAGCTCGTGGGAGAGCCGGCTTTGCCTTGGGCGTTGCCGCACAAACGCGTGACGCGAGGTGACCGTCGTTTGGTGAGTGCTTGGTTCTTATGTGCTTGCATGTGCTTGCGATGAACGCAGCTGGTCGGTTGCTGGAAGATCCATGTCGTCGTTTGCCTGGAGCAACGAATAGCCCTCAGGAAGATTCGTGTTCAATGGGGAGCAACGGACCACTTTTGTTGCACTGAATTTGAGTATATGTTGGGAACATGTATTTCCAATTTGATTAGCTATTATAGTAAATTGTCATATATACATATTAATATCATCCCCAATTTGGACAGGCATACTCCATTCATCTTGGGGCGTTCCTTTTTTCCAATCGAGGAAACGTTCCGCTACCCAGTCAGTGAACAGTCGTTGACCCTTTTGGGGGGAATTGGTTTCACCACCTACTCAAGTGGATCAGTTGGGGTGAAGGAGGATGCACCCTGTCAAGCCGCGGAATTTCGATCTCCATGCCTGTTGTGTGTCATTCATTTGCATGCTCTTCATGTTGTGTGTCACAGTCTTCCAGTCTTTCCGTGTCTTACCGACCAGAGTGTTTGCGACATTAACATGTCGATGTGGTGAGATGAGACGAGTGTTTGGGTGGAAAAGTGTTTGGTTTCAATATGGTTCAGTTTCAATGTCCTCGAACCATCTCAAACACCATCCCGAAACAAGGTTTTAATCAAACAATCATCTTACCCAGGGGTGTGGAGGCCATCGAGATAGTATTTTGATTATTTTGCGCCACCGATTTGGTCCATTTGTTGAGAAGAATCAAATTGACAGAGAACCTGCCGAAAAACTCAGTCTTTTCCGCTCAATGGTTGCAGCATTCGTTCAGCTGAATTCAATTGATTTACTTTTCCTGCTGAATTAATGTTGAACAATCGGACGCTCGTGCACGTGCAGCTTCAATATCCGACGCTCGTGACCTCGGCGACCTCGCGAGCTAGGTCTGCCTTTGAGGGTCGCCCAGCGGTGCTGCTGTTCGACTACCACCCTGCTGTGGGGAAGGCTGGGGTGTCGTAGGACCTTAGAATCCCTTACACAAGGAATGATGAATCCCTTAGAATCCCTTACAGAAGGCTTTTGGAGGTACTTTCTAGTAAGTTTGAGAGTTTGGAGTTCCTGATGGTTAATTACTGTATATGAATCTGTATGTCAAAACAAGTGTGTGCAACAATCCCTCAATGTCCTCGCATGTCAATCAGTTGCCAAAAAGGCCAGCCGGCCCAAATGCACGGGCAACCAGAGGCAACAAATGTGGTCGACAAATCCCTTTGTTGCCTTTTCCGGTTCGTGAGTGACCCATCTCCCGAACTCTTGACACCTTGACATGACAACGTCCTCTGGAGGTGATGTCTTCATCAGAACAAACACAGAGTGCAGCATCGAACACCCCGGGACGACCGCATAGCAGAGTGACGCTCACGAGTACCGCTGTTGGTCACCCCAAACATCGTGAAGACGGAGATATATGCGCACGCTGCACGCTTCGGGTCGAGTCCGAGATGGGCACTCAGCATAGCAGAGTGGCCCCAAACTATATATATATAAGATAACAAGCTGTTCTCAGTTCTTTCAGTAGGGACAACCTTTGAGGGGATGGGAGAGTTTGCAGGGAATCGTTCACAAATCAGGGTCTTCAAAGGTGTTCCTTTGCGCAACGAATTTGGTGTGTTTTTTGTTGTTCTCCTTGATGGATGAAAACGCACACAACAACTCCATCTAGTTCGGTATGTTTTTGTCAAGATCCAGGTATGTCGGAGGATCATCAGTATTTCAGTGTTAGCATAGAATTCCAAGGATCGTGTATAAACATGCAACAGCATACTGATTAGATGTGTTTCTTCTTTTTAACACATGAAAATGGTATCACCTTGAAATATACCCTAAGAATCCTTGGGCTCTCCATGGCAGGGGTCGGACCCGACACCTTCACAGGGGTCCGGGCCCTCAAAACCCTATGTGTTGTTTTTCAAAACTAATACAATTATCACATCAACCACTGTAGAAGACGGACCGTGTCGTCAGGAACGGACCGTGGACCCTGATCGCGTGGTCTCCTGCGAGCCGGGACACCCAGTGGTGCAGTTGGGAGCAAAAGAGAGATGGAACGGTAAATAGAACTAGGCATATATGGCATGCATGGAGTGTTTGGGGAATAGCATGTGTTCTTGAATCGGAGGACAGAGAGGTGTGTCAATAGATGCCTACTGTACTGGTACCAAGTCATTGAGTATAGCCTTTAGTCCTTTTTAGGGGATTGGTGTCCTTAACCTCTATTTTCCAGGGAACCCAGGATTGGCATACCCCAACACTCCATGGCACTGGCATATCTACCGCCCCATTCACCCCTTTTCAACCAACCAACCACCCGGCAGTTCGGCCGTGCCACGTTCCGGCAGTCCCAGACGGCTCGTGTTGGGCGTTTGGGCGCCCCCCCTACCGGGTCGGAGCCGCTGGTTTTGCACAGACGGCTGCGTGGCTCGTTTCACCGAAGGGTCGGGCTCGTTGATAGACTCGAACGATCGTTTTCTTTACAGGCTCAGTGTCCACGGTGTTTGGGGCACTTGGGGGGCTGTACTTGTTATAAGCCAAGTGCTACGCCGGGAATGGTGCGGGTGATGTCACCTGGTTTGGCTCGTTCAGACGGCTTCAGTTTGGGCCGTTCGAATGGAGAGGACCACATTCCAACTCGACTCGGGACTCGGTGAAAAAGAGTGTTGTTGAAACTTTACAGCTCAGTTTCAGAGCTTCGATGGCATAAGTTACCCCGGACATCGTGGTTCATGTGGACCACCATCTTTTCAGTGTCAGTGCCAGAAATCAAACCATGCACTGCAACCAGGACCACAAGATACATGACGTCAGTGTTGTCTATAAACCACATGAACTCCGTGGTCCTGGTACTGTGTCGTTGATTTTCCCGAACAAGACTGGATGCTTGGAGCATGGTGAAGACTCGAAACAAGTGTTCTTTTGGCATCCCACAGAATCAGACGGTGCTTCCTGTAGGGGTGCTGGCAGGTGCTTCAAAAATGGGCAAGCAGTTTGCATGAAGTTGCTTCCGGATGCTGGACACGCCACGCGAGCTAGACTCTACTCGACTCTTCTCACTTACTGGAAAAGGCTGCATCCAACGGCCGATGGCACGGGTGCTTTAAGTTCCAAAGTTTCTGATAAATCCCATCATATCTCATCAATTGCGATTGCTTGAATGGCTTTGGTATGCTGAAAACTGACTTATACTACTACCAGAACCCTCCAAGGGGTGTCCAATGGACCACCCCACACTACCTATAGGCTTCCATTGGGCACCCCTTGGAGGGTCCTGGTATAAAGAGCTTCCATTTCCTTTCTGACCTTCCCCTTCGATTTCGCATCCGACCGATGCAGAACCCGCGGAACCCGAAGTCCTCTCGCGTCTTCCAATCTCTCCCCGCACGACGAGACCTCTCGCCGGCAGGGGGCATGGTCGTCCCGAGATCTTCTTCAGCCTTGGACCTCGGTCCAAGCTGCGATCGTTGGAGCCGTTTTTGGGCGGGGCGTTTTCGGCGGGGCTGGTGGGGGGGGGGGGGGGGGGGTGTTTAGTTTGGTCATTCGGTTTTTTGAGGGAGAGGTAGTGCAAACGTAGCAACGTACGTGCAGACCGCCATTTTTTCTGCTCAAGCACCTGCACTTGACCCACACAAGAAGCAGTCCCCAAAATGTTCCATAAGTGTACTTGGGCTGAGCAATTCGTGCGCAGAAGAGCGGTAGATGGCAGGCAAGTAACCCCTTACGTACTGCCGTTTTGGATCAGGTGCCCCAAGTCCGGGCCTCGGCTGACGGCTCAGGCCATTCGGGCTGCGTGCATCGCTACAATGCAGTGCTCAACAGCTTTTACTGCGGAGGCAGGTTCTCGGCGATAGTGTCGACACCGGTGTGGTTTGAATTGTTCTAAGAAGACCTCACAATTGAACGTATTGAACTCCCTGGCCAAGTAGATAGATGCTCATGACTCATGACCCAATTTTGGAAAGTAGGGGTCACCTGAAATTGGCAGACGCGACCAGATGGTGCACACGATCTCGGAGGTGTTTAAAGTTTAAGCCTTTTACTAACAGATTTGGACGCTCGGCATGTGTGACCTGGGACGGAATGTCCCTTGTCCGACAGCGTCCAACATGTCCTTGAAAAAGAGCCTTTTCACCATCCATGTGTGGAATAGTTAAAGCTTAATTTGTTAAGTAACTCAACTACTTATTATACACATTGCCCCCATCTATTGGCCCTAATGCAACTATGCCATAGTATGGTTTGGGTTTAGTCCATACCGTACCCCCAACCTATTTGTCGTGCTAGCCAGTTCTTGCGCGAACACGGGGGATAGGCCAGATTAACTGCCGCAGGCGGCGATTGATGCCGATGTTTTGGGGGGTTCAGCATGGCACGGTCGTTTCTACCACCCGACACCGTGGGGTGCCCCTGTTTGGAAGCCGAACGGCCGGTAGGTGTGGGGTAGTCCAGCCAGGACACCCCGAGGGTCGGAGGGTCCAGGTAGAGAGTGGCTCGAGCTCGTTTGGAGCACGATTCCCTGCGCAGCCCGGAACGGCCGTTGAGAAGCTCCACGGTGCCGCCGGACGGTGGGTTCCGGCGGGACCTGCCCAGTGATAGATGAAGACTACCCATATACTCCAATGTATATCCATGTATGGTATATGCCTACATTGACCCCCAAAACCACTTTAATGTATATAAGCATATATGGCATACATGGAGTGTCTGGGCTATGTGTCACGGACGTCCAGTCATTCAGTCGGTCTTTCCTCGGCATCCTTGTCTTCCATGTCACCCAAGGACCACGAGGACACATGACCGGTCGGCGCATGGAAGACTGTCTCGCAGATCGTCTGGATCTGAAGGCCTTCGGCCGTTCGGCCGCTTTTTCTTGTCGAAGATTGAAAACGACAGGAGCAGAGAGACTGCTGTGATCCGAGGACCAGGACAAGGATATAACGAACACATGTGCAGACAACAGGCGGCCAACCAATGGTGGTGCCACTTCCTCCTCCCCGCTGGCTCAACCAATGGTGGCGCAACCCGAAGTTGAGTGGTGAGCTTGTTGCAGACGAAGTCGATCAGCGGTGCGATCATGGATGCTGGGGTGAGATCAATGCGTTGCATTCTAGGGGTCACAAGACGGGGTGCCGAACTTGGAGGAAGTCGGGGTGCCCCTGTCACATCCACTCACTGGATGGGACCAAACACCACTCCGTCTACCCCTGGGTTGTGTCCCATGGCTCTTGCCGTTGATGCTGTTTGCGCCCTGGGCGAACTTGTTGGCCGTTCTGGGAACGGCCGGAACGTTTCGGAGACCGTTTTGCTCGGGTGCTGGGCTGAGATGATTCTGCCAGGACCCGACACCGTGGGGTGCCCTGTTTGGAAGCCGAACGGCCGGTAGTGTGGGGTAGTCCAGCCAGGACACCCCGAGGGTGGGAGGGTCCAGGTACGTTCTCTTTTTGTTGTGGCACCCTTTTGGTGTTTCATGGCTCTTCTGGCGAAGATGATTCTGCTTTGTTTCGCTCTGACTCCCATGGCTCGAGATGGTTCTACTTTGTCTTCCTTTGTCCCCTTTGCTTCCGTTGCTGTTTGTGGTCGATCCTGGGGTAATTGTGCTTAGCCTACTTGGTGGACTTACGACACTGATCAACTGGAAAAGTGTTTGGCGCACCCAATTCCCATAATTACACTCTATTTGTGATATGTTAAATCTACATATATGCCTGCAGCGTACATACATGGATGGTGGGTGTGTAAATGTAAATCTGAGTTTACTATGGGTTTGCTGCACACTTATGGATCATATAATATATCATTAACATCATGGATCATACCTGGATCTTCCAACTGTTACCAATTTCTGCCTTTTCATCCAAAAAATCAGCCAAAAGGCAGAAATTTGGCATAGTTGGAAGATCCAGGTAGGTGTTGCATGGGCCATTGCCCATGAAACCGTCGTGGTCTTTTCGACGCGTTTTCGCGTCGCCTCGCAGGTCTGGAGGAGGAGGCATCTGTGCTGGACTCAGTCGTCAGGACGGTGAAGGGTCCGCGGACCGTTCCGGGGGCGGTCCTGAGTCCTTGGTGTTTTTGGGCCAATTTGATCGAAGGTGATTCCCCCCAAGTCGGATTCCTATAAGAAACATACTATTTGAGCTGGCGGTGGTGACAAGACCATCCTGTGAGTGAGTGAGTGAGTGAGTGAGAGTAGAGTGAATGGGAGGGAGAGGGGGAGAGAGGGAGAGAGAGAGAGAGGTGCGTGTCCGGGCCGAGCTCCCCGCTGCGTGAACATGGTGAAGTGGGCTATGTAGTAGCGTCCGATCGCTCCGTTCGAGTCGCGATGCCCTGTGTTCAGTTCGTAGCCTTCGTATGTTCCTAGTGGTAAGGCCAGAAGCTACGTTCGTAGCGTCCTTAGCAACTGTGAGTTGTTCCACACAGCTTCACCTTGCAAGGACACCGCATGATACCGCCCGACACCGCCCGACACCGCGACGGCTTAAAAAGCGGTGAGACGGGAAATCCTCTCCTCGGTGGCTTTGTGGTCCTTGAGCCAAAAAGCTGGCCCGAAGCTGGGTCGATCCTGCTGGTTTGCGACACGTTGCACCAATAATCGCGATGGCCTCTTGCTGAGATGGACCCAGCACACAGCGAAGTGCTGGATCTTCGGCCTGTTGACCAGCACACTTCGCTGTGCGCTGGAGCCCAGCACATGCAGCAAAGCGCTGGAGCCCAGGTCTTGGAGAAGGACGAAGATTCCATCTCCTCACACTCCTCCCTGCTCGCGTTGCCGCTCTCGTGTAGAGTCCTTACATGGCGAAGTGGGAGAGTCCTCTTTCACAGAGGACCTGGCACGTTGCGTGGACGGCGTGGACCGGGAAGATCACCGGAGCGATTGGCAACATCAGCTCCGCAACATCGGACACCACGGATCTTCAGGTGTGAATAAGGATAAACCCGGCGAGTGCCAACATAAGAAATGGTGTTTCGTTTATGTTGTTGTTTTCGTTGTTTTTTTGCCGGTGTCCTTTTGACTTGAGACATGTGACATATATACATATAGACTGTCTTTTCTTCTTGACCAGAAGCTCGTGTCCTCATTTTTGTCCAGGCCTTCCTTCAGTTGAAGCGCCAAAAGCACTTGGTATCCCCTGGTAATCAAAAGCGAGCAGCACCTGGAATTGTTGTGAAGGAAGTGCAGCCAGTATATATCCTCCCAACACTCCACCAATGAGAAATCTGATTGCATTCTCGTCGAAAAGCGTGAATCGTTGTAACACCTCAGGCGCAAGTTATGCCCAGCGTGTGGGCATGTTGTCCCCATTTCTCTGCGATGCACTTTGTTGGCCTCGTCATTCTGCTGCACTGCCGCATTCAGCTATGCCTTTGCCACACGTGTCCGCGAGTAATACATGTGGTGGCCTCAAAATCGTGGTCCCGTCGTTGAAGCAATTGGCCCAGCACATGCCAACACTCATGTTTCAAACATCCTAACAGAAGAAGCTCCATTCAATGGGTCCGCAGGTTTTCGCACAGGCCCGGGGCCAGGCCAGGCTCGTTTGGTCCCCGCAGTCCCCGTGACGTCCCAGCGTTCCGGGCGGTGACGATCCGACCCCACGGCCCGTTGCATGAGCCCAGCGGGGCCGCTGTGTGGGATGAGCATCTCTGGTGTGTTGTTCAGAGGTGCGGAGGGCATGTTTGTGCTCTGTGCTGTAAAGCAGCAAGCAATTTTTTGCGGAGAGAAGATACAGAAGTTTTTTTTGCATATACTTGTTATAGCTTGAGGCAGAGTGCTGGTGAATCAGCTCATGAAGTCTATATATCAATCACACCACCTGCAGTTCTGGCTGAGTTTGGTTTAATTTGTGTTGTGTGTGTTTTTTTAGTACCCTGGCCCTGACTTTTGATGTTCCCCAGTATCTCCGCCTCCCATCCAATCGAACCAGATCCGCCTCCCAGGGAACCCAGGGAACCCAGACTCCAGTGACGAAGTGCCAGGAAAATAAGATGATATATAAGTATCTAACATCTATATATATAGAGATTTTGGATATATTTGGATCTCAAACAATCCAAGTATGGAAGGTACTACACCTACATTGACTTATGTTCGCTGCTGACTGAGGCAGTTCCTATCTTGCTTTGGGGTGGAACGCCAAGGCAACACGGCTCAAGATCATCGAAGACGTTTGCACATGCAGGCAAATCTGATGATTTGAAGAAGCTTCCCCAGAATGTCTTCTGTATGTTGCTCTATTAAAAAGAAAAAACATATATAATCATATATATATATATATTATGTTCGTTTGTTTCTGCGACCGTGTTCATTATCAATAGTTAAAAACGAACAAGAATACAGTTGACCTCCAAAAGATGCGAACCTTGCAGTATCCATACATTGAAGTTTGTAAACTGTTGCGAATGTACATACTGATTATTCAAGCAATTTTGCAGTGTATTTTTTGTTCCAGACTGGGGTGGGTTGGGGTCACCATCATTGCAGCATGTCACTATGGTTTCTGCATGTGTTTGTTGTTTTCCAACTCCGACCTTTGTTTTCTACATATGTTATCATATGTTCATATGTTCAATCGATTACTCCCCAAAACTGTCTTCTTCTGGTGGGTCCGCACTGTGAACTCCCATGTACACCGTACTTTTTGGAACCGTACTTTTTGGTAGAGCTCTCCAAACACAAGAAACAGAACGAATACTCTGGTTTAGAGGTGGCTCTAGCAGACTGTATTCCTCAGATGGTGGGAGGTGGAGAGAGCTTCCCATTTTTTTCCCGAATGCGTAGCGAAGGGTTCTCGTTTAACTCTTGGGGGTCTGGGGGTAGAGCTTTGTTCGCGACCCGTTGCTTCTATGTTCGCAACCGTTGGCAACCGTCCGCAGTAGAGCGCTAAGGCGCTGCCATTGGGGGAAGCTTTTGCAAGTGACTTTTCATGGATGTGTCACGTGTCAGTTTGCGACGCTATTCCATTGTGATTTGCATGAAAATGACATGTCGCGCAAGAAGCGTGATGCATTTCGCTGCACAGGCGCAGCGTTTTGTGAGATCCTCAGTTTGCTACGCAGTTCCATTGGGATTAGCATTTGGAGAGTCGTGTTTTTGGGGTGTTGGATGTGGCCGTGCCATTGGGATTTGCGTTTCAGGGTGTGGCATCGAAGCTCTGTTTTCGTGACAAGTCTCAGCTGAAATGGCGATTTTGGTGGATGGGAGTGTGCTCAGAACGGATCGAAATCATTCCAAACGTGTGGTGTGGTGCAAATTTTGTTGAAGCTCACATGAGATGATATTGTCACTTTTCGCGGCAGGCGCAGTACTTTGTGCCGGTTTTGAGGCATGGAAGTGTGATTTTCGTGGCAGGCGCAGGGAATCGTGAGGTTGCGAGGTGTGACGGAGGTGACGTTGCAAGGCAGGCGCAGTACTTTGTGCGCGTTAGACGTGTGGACGCGGAAAGATGCGTGGCAGGCGCAGGGAATTGTGAGGTTGTGAGTTGTGGTAGAGGTGACTGTCGTTGTCTCATTGGGATTGGCGTGTGAGCGGGTGTTGTTTGGAGGGGCTGGAATCGCGAAACTGCTTGGCAGGGCTGCGTGATGTGTGTGCTCCGATGGGTGTTTCCGCTTGACTTTTGGAGGAAGTCTCGTACGAAACGCTCGTTTTGGAGACTTTGACACGTGAGTTTTTGAGGAAGTCTCGTACGAAACGCTCGTTTTGGAGAGTTGACACGTGACTTTTGGAGGAAGTCTCGTACGAAACGCTCGTTTTGGAGACTTGACGTGTGACTTTGGAGGAGGTCTCGTACGAAACGCTCCGTTTTGGAGACTTGACGCATGACTTTAGGAGGAAGTCTCGTACGAAACGCTCGTCTTGCAGCCTCGAAGCGTGACTTTTGGAGGAAGTCTCGTACGAAACGCTCGCGTGACTGCTTCTAGTGTGTGGGCAGACCGTGTCGCGACACGAGTGTCCCACAAGAGTGTCCCACAAGAGTGTTCCACAAGAGTGTCCCGCAACCGTGTCCCACAAGAGTGTCTCACAAGAGTGTCCCTTAAGAGTGTCCCACAAGAGTGTCCTATAGGAGTGCCCCACAAGAGTGTCCTACAAGAGTGTCCCACAAGAGTTTCCTACAAGAGTGTCACACAAGAGTGTCCCACAAGAGTGTCCCACAAGAGTGTCCTACAAGAGTGTCCTACAAGAGTGTCCCACAAGAGTGTCCTGTAAGAGTGACCCACAAGAGTGTCCTACAAGAGTGTGTCACAAGACTGTCCCACAAGAATGACCGACAAGAGTGTCCCATAAGAGTGACCCACAAGAGTGCTTTTGAGAGTGTCCCACAAAGAGTGTCCTACAAGAGTGTCGTGTAAGAGTGACCCACAAGAGTGTCTCGCAAGAGAGTGTCCCATAAGAGTGACACACAAGAGTGCCCCACAAGAGTGTCCCACAAGAGTGTCCCACAAGAGTGCCCCGTAAGAGTGGCCCACAAGAGTGTCCTACAAGAGTGTCCCACAGGAGTGTCCCAAATGAGTGTCCCGCAAGAGTGTCCCAAAACAGTCCCCCCCAAGAGTTTCCTACAAGAGTGTCCTACAAGAGTGTCCCACAAGAGTGTCCCAGAAGAGTGTCCCGCAAGAGTCTCCTACAAGAGTGTCCCGAAACAGTGCCCCGCAAGAGTTCCCTACAAGAGTGACCCGCAAGAGTGTCCTACAAGATTGTCCCACAAGAGTTTTCCACAACAGTGGCCTATATGAGTGTCCCACAAGAGTGTCCTACAAGAGTGTCCCACAAGAGTGTCCTACAAGAGTGTCCCAC